AAGAATTCTTCCAGTACGTTTGTGCTATCCTTTGCGGCTGTGACACTTTCCTCTGGCTCAATAGGTGACGAGGGATTTATGGGCGGCGCCTCAGACTCCGGCGAACTGAAAGTTGTCAACTTTAATTTCGTGTTTAGCTAAAATGCCAGTCAGCCAGCTAGCCACGCACACACGCACACAAATAGCACCCAGCACCTGCACCCGCGTCCGCGCAAACTAGGCCACTCAATCAAGGCGAACCGAGAAGAAGGAGCAAGGAAAGTGGGGGGATACCAGTCAGCATGACCACTGGTGGAACCAAACTCACACGGGGAATGGCGAAAGGGATTGCCGCACCATCGGGGAGAAAGGGGGGCGACATGGGCTTATAGTGGGGGGTGAGAATTTCGGCGCGAGAAAAGGCGAAAAGGGTCACCAAACTTACGACTCATTCTCAGTTTCGTCTTCAGCGGCGTTTGAAGTCTCTTGAGCCAATTTTCGAACCGTCGGGGTGAGTTCCTTCAGCAACGAGAACTCATAGTACTGGTAGCCCTTAAAGCTCTCTGACACAGAAACCATTGTCCTGGAAAGATGAAGTAAAAATATGCGTTTTAGGTTGGGTACATAAAATCCGAATAAGCAATAGCGCATACAAAGCCCAACTCGCTGTGAGCACTGGCTTATGAGAGTCTACAGTTCACTACTTTAAAATAATGTGTGAGAGAAGTGACTTCACTACTCAGCATGATTATTTAGAGCGGAGGATTGAGAAGAAAGGCTGGCAACCACGCTGAATTTATCGGACATTCACTGAAACAACTTTTCACGCTGAAAATGAGGTCTCAGCTGCCTAGAGTCAAGTTGGCAGGAAACCCAATATGTTTTGAAAAGAGGAAAACCGACTACAAGTCACACTTTGTCAGCATATTATGCAAGCTATGGAGCCTTTGATTGATTAGCCAAACCCCCTAGAAGTAGTAGTAAAGGGGATTGGCTGCAGCGAATGCGACTGTTGCTACATCGGAAAAACACTATGGGCGCTGCAGACTTGCCTGGCCGTGCGTTCCCAAAACTGGAGCAGTGTGTCTTGGTAGGCGGCGAGGACCTGGCTCAGCATATTGCAGCGACTGGCAGCCAGTAGATCCACTTTCTGCATACTGGCCAACTTCAGACGATCAAAGGTGGCCTTGGACTTGCGTACCTGTAGGATGTTTGAGAAAAAGACAACAGAGTTTAAAAAAACGGGGAGGGAGACGGATTTACGTGGGGGCGCTTTTGCACCAACAAGCAACAGATATCGTCACTGCATGGCGCAGAGACCGATACTGATTGAAACCTCCACGCCCCCGCCCTAGATCATTAACTTGGAGAACGATGCAGAGGCTGTAAATGTATATTAAGTCTCTGAGCAAGGAAACACGTGGATATCTGGTCAGGTGATGGGCGATGCGGCGGGCGTTTATATGCGGAGTTGCAACAAACATGTGCTTTGAAACAGCTTCCAGTAATAAAAGGTAATGCAGGCTAATCACTGTCCCCATATAACCACTATGCAGAGGAAAATAACTAAATACCGATGGGTGGGTGGATGGATGGAAAAACCAGTTTAGCTCGATTCGAAGAAAAGCGAATAAGGTCACACGGGAGTTGTGACGCATGAAACCCATGGCAGGAAAGAGCACGCACATTCTAGACAACCATGTCTGCATACACGTCTGGTACAGTTATTTATAAATAGTAGTGAGAGTGGGCCATCGAAACAACCTAAAAAGCCTTTCTAGGAGACGGAGCCTACGAAGTGCCGCCTGTTTGTGCTGTGCAAA